CAGATGAAAAATCATCTTCCTCTGAAGAAGAGAGTGATGATGAACAGCAACCAACTACTTCAGTAACCGATTCAGAAACCACCAAGCAAGTTGATCTACCAGACAGTTCTTCATCTAATGTACAAGGTAGTACTTAATGGATGTTCATTTTTTTAAATACCTTGTAAAAGTTTCATTTGTGAATCAAATACTCCAGGACTGCTCGAATAGTGTTATGCTCTTGTGCAGATCATCTGGCATTGGTGGAGCTGGGCATGTAGAAAATGTGACTAGTACAGCACTGAATAAGGTCTTGCATGTTATAGTGTTATTTATGTTGCCATGTGTCTTGCATAGATTTTACAAACAAACTGCCCTATGGAACATGCTTGTTAAACAGTGAGGGGGAGCAAAACATCTAATGTTAGAGCATTCTTCACTGAGAAATACAGGGAAACTTTTATACCTATGATAAATTGTAAGATAGATTGATAAATTATGACTGTCTTGTGGTGGATATTTGACAAATTCAGAAATAAATAACTTGCAGTTCTTTTGATAATTAAATTCACTCTCTACTGACATTCCAGTAAAATATAATGTTGAAGTAATTTAACAAGACATCAAAAAGTTGCATTTTATTTGTATTCTAGTTATAGAAGTTGCCAGAACACTTGCACAAGAGAGGGAGAAGACCAATCTTTTACTCTCCTCCATATTAAATTTTACTATGGGAGCTGAAGAAAGTTCCCATATTTCCAGGATGTGATTAAATTAGCAAAATGTACAATATACTTAACTTACAATGGAAATACTTTGTCTACTTACTGTCACAGTTGGTTCTGTTAACATCTAACTTTTAGTGTTTATTAACTTTATAGTTCTTGTGGAGTCTTTTATTCCTTTGAAGTAATAGAAGAGTAGTACTGTGTTATTAAATGAAAGCAAACGCATGCACCGATACAAATTTAATTAGTAATTGTATAGTGTAAAAGGTCAATTTTGATTAAAAAGAAAAGTAAAAACAAAACAGTATGTTGATGTGTTTCCGAATATCAGCTATCCAGTTGGCCAAAGCAGTCCACAGAGATATAGGGTGCTGATCAATTTGCTTGCTTAGAGGTTTTTGGAAAGCCTCCTTTAACTTTCTTCAGCACTTCTTGGAAGAAGTGTTACCTTATTTTCCTTTCAAATAAAGAAGTTGTTTTTTGTTTTTTTTTCGTAGAGAACGCGGCTGCTACAACTGATCCTGGTGTTTCTTTGTTGCCTACTTCAAAGCAGGAACTGGATGAAACAGAGGAATTTGGACCAAAGTTGCCTCCAGCTTTTTCTTCCGGTAGGTTCTGTAGACTTCTAGTGTGTAAATTCTGCACACTGAAGTTGTATGTAAGATATATGATATTTCTTTTTAAAAAACATCTGTGAATAGGCACTTTACCTCATAAATGCCTGTGTTATGTCAAACTGGCATCAGTAAATGCTTTGTTACCATGCTGTAATCCATTAGCAGGAACCTCTTTGCCTGTGTACCAATTTTGTTGTAGCTCTATAGAGGCAATGATAAAAAATTGTAGTGAAAATATAGGACCAGCCTTGCAATTTCTTTTAACAACAGATTGCAAAGGCATTTAATTACAGTACGAAGGTTGCAGTTAGGATTTGTAGACATTTAATTTCCATTCGAAAGCTTAGGGTTTGTTTGGTTGGTTTTTTTTTTAAACTTTCAAAAGTAACAGAGTTTAATAATAAAATTACCTTTTTTTTTTGTCTTGTTTGTTTGTTTGTTTGTTTGTTTGTTTCTGCATTTACTTTGCGCTTTAGGCCCTACTTTGCAACAAGAACCAGTGGTGCCAGCAAGTTTTCCTGGGCCTAGTAGGAAAGAAAAACATAGGAAGAACAGAGAGAAACACAAGACTAAGAGAGAACACAAACACAAAAAGGAAAAGGTATTTAATTTAAATAAACATTTTATTGATTCTTTGATCTGCCAGTCAAAATTTTTTATTATTTATGCTAGGTTGTAGAAAATAGATATACTGGGACTAGAACTTATGCAACAGATTTTCTCAGGTGTCTTGAACCCTGAACTTCAGAACAGAAAATTAGCGAACTGGGGTGCTGCTTTTTCCATATATACAATGTGACTGCAGATACAATATTGTAGGTGGTTTAATGTTGTATGCTGAAGATGTCAGGCATATTCTGGGAACTGCATATAATTCATGGCTTGTATACAAATAATAATAATAAAGAAATTCCTATTTTAGGGGGGGTTGAGTGCTTGGGATGAAATGGATGATTTTCGTATGTATTTTTTTAGCTCAGTCTGAGTAATGGAAAAGAGTTATTGTTAAGTGTTCTGTTTCAGTTAAGCTCGGAGTCTACACTGAAATCCACTTTTTGCTGTTGTTGCCTTTCAGAAAAACCCAAGTCTTTCACAATGAAATAAGGGATTGTTTCTCTTCTTTTTACAGAAAAAGAAACATAAGAAACAGAAAAACAAAGGAAAACACAAGAATAAAAAATCAGAAAAAGACAGCAGCTCAGACACTGCAGATAGCAGTGACAGCCTTAGTGATATAGATACCACAGGCTTGTCACCCAAAGAACTTCTAAGAAGGTAAACAGAAAGTTTATTTAAACACTTGAAATTTTGCAGTGAATAACCAAAACCTCAATTTGAGTTGTCATTCTAGTGAACCTAATTGCAGCAAATATGGATCAGCCAGTCTTTTCAATAAAAAAACTGAGCAGGATTTTGAAAGGAAAGATTACAAATATTAGGCATATTAATCTAGAAGGTAATTTTAGGATAGAAGCCCCTTAAGGTAAAGGGTACTAAATACGCAACTCTGCTAATTAATGGAGGTTATAGTTAGAGATTACTGATATTTTTGGAAGGTATTTTGAGTGGGAATTAAAAATTGAACAAGTGCAGGTTGTGATTCATGTTTCTGTTACTTTGTCTGCTTCTCTTTACTTGGAAATATTGGAAGGAACGTTGTCTGCTTCAGAATGTTTTGAGTCTGCTTCGGTTTGTTGGCAATTACCAAAAGATCCAATTCAAATAGATCCATTGTGTGGCATTGATGCTTAAGATAATTCTGTGCTTGAGCAAGGAGCAGAGAAGCAAGCAGAACAATGCTTGAGTCATGTACATGTCTGCTAAATTTAGACTGTGCTGTTAGATTTTTATAAACTAGAGACTTGAATGTAGTGCCAACAGAAATGTGAAAGTTGAATGAGAACGATTAACAATTTCATTTTGCTCACACAGTTGAAGTACAAGCAAAAGTAACTGTCTCTAGTTCAGATCATAGTCAACTTTAAGTGCATCCCCTGTGGAACAGTCACTGCATTGTCTTCTGTTTAGTGTCTCTTACTAGCTGGAGGAGAGGTCTCAAGGTATTTGTTGAAATACCACATCCAGTCAGCCTAATGGCAAAATGATTGGGGGCTAAGTGTTTAGTGGAATGGACCTGTACTAATGGAAGGGCTGGCATTCAAAAGGACTCTGCCTTCCATTCCTTTGGAACTAAGCTTCAGTTATGTATTGGTGTTTTCTTACTAAAAAACCAAACTACTTCTCCTTTGATTTCTAAATAGCTAAAATATGTTTTTATGCTTTTTGCACAAAATAGTTAGACTTCCTTGTACAAACAGTTATTTTGGAAGTCTTCACATTTGCATGTCTCTACATCACTGAGAAAATGTTTTTATTTTGCATAACTCGGATCTCTCTCTTGAGCTGTTTGTTAAATCTTAGTTTAAGTAATTAAATGTTCTTAATGGTGTATGTTACTGATCAGTCTGACCTCTTTCTTTTTGTTTCTCCCTTTTAGATTAAAACAACTTCAGTATTGAAGAGGTAGCTTGTTTTCTTCAGTGTTGTGTGATTTGATACCAAATTTTTGATCTCCTCCATGATGGTAGATCAATCATGTATACTTTGAAGCACTGTAGATACTGTATTCATATTGAAATTGTTTGAAAGTAAATATGCATATGTTTATTTTGTGATGCTTCAGATGTTCAAAATGTATGGATTATGGAATGTTGAAAAGACCCCTTTCTGGGCAGCATAATCTGAAATACTGCAGGCTCTGTTTTAATTAACATGAAACCAGATATTTTAATAAACTTAAGTATTACAAATCAGTTTTGTATGGTAAGTCATTGCCTAGGACCTCTAAAATGCTGCAGAGTAAGTTTCAGTCTGAATTAAATTAGGAAGCTAAAAACTAAAGCAATGTAAAATTTGTATTGGGTGCAAGTATTTTTAATGAGTCTAACGCAGAATTTCACATTGCAGTTTTGCAGTATCTGGTTGTACTTGGAGTTATTTTTACATCTCCAAATTGTATATAGCATTTACCATAGCAGGTCTAAACCAATAAACTGTCATTTTGACACAAATTAAGGCTAATGTACTAATATTTTAGTACTATAATTATAATCTACCTTATTTTATGCAGTACAATGGAAACTGTTTATACCACTTCATTTCATGCAGTACATTTAAAACGCAGTTGTCATCTTGTAGAATTATTTTAACATAAACTATGAAAGTATACTGACCTGCTTTGTGAATGATCAGGCTATTAAAACAGACCCACAGAACTTCTTTCCAGGTGCACAAGGAAACCAAAAGAATATTTCTGCTTAAAACTAGGAACAGAAGCCTTAACTGAAATTCACTGTTGTCGATGGCAGTTCTCTGGGGCCTGATTTAATGTATTTTTTAGTATCCACAGCTTTGTGACAGCTCTTGATGAGAGCAAAGTGATGTAGTAGTCTCACGTTGACACACAGATTGTGCGTGTTTTAAACGTAAATTCAACAATAAACTTGAGCGACAGAAGGAGAAATAAGAAATTGGGCCTTGAGGTTGCCTCCGTTACAGGAAAAAAATAAACCCGACAGCTGCCTCGCACGGCAGTTGCTCGGAGTCTGTCCCCTGTTAAAGCTTCAAAGGCGTTTCGGCGGGAGCCGCCGCCACCTGAGGTAGCGCGCGGAGCCCAATGGCGGCGGGGAGCAGCCGTGGGGACCCCTTGGCCTTGGGGCCGACACCTTCCCCGGCAGAGGGTCGCTGGGAGGACCGTGAGCTGAGGGCGCAGGTACTCTGTGGCTGTGGACGGAGGGAGGGAGGGAGAGAGGCAGGGCCTGGCGTCGGCGGGCGGGGAGGTCTCCGGCAGGCCGGGCTCCCTGCCCGTGGGGTAGTCGGGGGCTGCTGGAAGCTGAGGGTTGAGAAGCTCGCTGTCGCTTTACGTGTGGTTAATGCTCTTGGCAGCAGTATTTTTGTTAGCTCTGTTCACTCAAATGCATGCTGGACAGTCATGAGCAAGCTCCCAAATGACTGAAGAAGAGCCTTTTCAAAATATCTTTGACAAAATTTGTAATGTCCTTGGGTAAAACGTGTGGCCTGAAAGCTTGATGTGCTGCCCTTTGATGGGCCAGAGTTAAGGAAACAAGTGTTTGAAAGACTTGAGAGATCGACTTCATGAGATTTAAAGATCAGTATTACTTTTCATGAGAGGAAGAAGAATTGGGAAACCTTAACCAAAAAAACCCCCCTGCTTCCCCTCCAGAAAAATAAAAATAAAATCCACATCCATCAGCCTTCCTTTCTGAACCAGATTTGGTAAATCTTCTCCAAGCTAGTACCAAGGAAAGGATGTGAACTCTTCCCAGACAAGTGGAACTTAAAATCTGGTTCTTGCTTTCATACTCCCCCTCGTGGACTAAGCTGTCAAAAATAATTTCAAGGAAAAAGATTCCTAAACTTTGCTCTGTTCCTTTACAGATCCAATTTAAAATTCTGAGAGGACACAGTGATACTGTGAGCTCCTGCCATTTTTGCTTTGAAGACACAAAAATACTTTCATGCTCTTATGATAGAACAGTGAAGCTCTGGGTATGTTATGAACGCAGCAACAACAAATTAAAAAAAAATCTTAAAGCTGAAATCAAACAAGGAATGTTATACAGGCATGAAGGTTGACTGAATCATCAAGGAGCTTTCTGAAGATATCTTATACAAGCTTAAAAATAGCAACTGTAAATGTTTTTGTAGTCACAGATAAATAGTAAAACTCCTATTTCATACTTCAAACATATTCTTTGGCATTAAAGGGTGACTCTTGTAAGCATATGTAGCATACACTGAATCAGAACTCCAGATTATTAATATTTTAAAACTGTAAGTTGATACACAAAGCTTACTCTTTTTCTCCTGGAAGTTCCTTTTTCTGACTTGTTTATGTATGTGACTGTTTGTGGAGGACAAGTAGAAGTTAGGGATCACACAGCATGGCTGTAGTGTTTTCATACTTGTTGCTTGCTTTTTCCTTTTATTTAAATCTCAACTTGCACCCTTTATTTTCTTGCCTTTCCAAGTTTTGTGTAGTTAACTGAGGTTTCTCTAAAATTCCAGCCACCTTGGGCTGGCAGGATCTGAACTGGGGAAGTGTACAGATTCTGGGTGATCAAATCTAAGTATAGTCTAAAAGATAGCTTGGGGACATAAGGTTATGTGAGCCCTTGAATTTTATGCAAGCCAATGACAATGCAGCTGGGCTAAATAGATTGCAGGCATTGAGATCTGGCATAGATTAAACAGTCACGATTTGATTCAAGAATTGGTGATGAGTTATAGTAATGCCTTCATATGATATGAATACAAATGAAATAATTTTTTAACGGATCTAAAGTGTTGACTTCTTACCAATGCAGTACTAGGTTTCTAACATAATCCAAACCTTTTTTCAGACATACTTAAAAAGCCCAAGAACCCCAAAGGTGTGAAAAGTCCAGGCAATTTTCAGGTTAGCACCATTGTGTTACCCAAGAGCTGTAGATGGCTAGATCCAAGAAACCAGGAAGTCTAGAATGAAAAAAGTCCTGTCTTTTAATGATCAGTTCCTAAGTAAATAAACACGTGGAGCTCTTAAGCAAATACTGTAGATAGGAGAAATATAAGTATCTCAGTGTGTTAGTCATGACATTTACAGTTTAATAACTGTTGGATTGACAGTTCCAACCTTTCCTGCTTTGTCTGAACTCAGAACTGGAACTTTTATTTTTCTGTCTTTAGCAAAATGGTATTCAGCTGTCTTACATGTAAGTAAACTGAAATCAAGACCTGAAAATAAGATAATAGATTAATTTTTTTAAGCACTGTAGATCCATGAATGTTCTTTTTGCTGGAAAGGCTATACTGTGCCACTTGCCTGAAGTGTGAAAGGGTTAATCTGTCTAAGAAATTTTATCTTTGTAATTTTTATCTAAGAAAGATTTATTCAACACTTGTTGACCAATACTTATTTTTCAGAATCCATCTAAAAGTATTTGCCTGAGTGTTGGGAACTTTCTGATAGCAATGTATAGGCAAAATGATGTTCATTTATTTTGACAAGATTAATTTTGTCTGGACAAGCCTAATTTCCTCCTCTGCAGGAACAGCTGAAGCAATTAGAATTTGGGAGGGTACAGAGGACTTGGTTGTGGGGGGCTAAGCCAGCCCTGACAATTTCACTTTGGGGTTCTCTTTCTTCTCCATTGAAAGAGTAGATTATCAAATAATTGAGTGTAATGAGAAAGCATTTGAAATTCCTCTTGAGAACAGACAGTACCTTACTGACCGCCCACACATCTCTGGGGAAACAAAGGTTAGTAGGGCACACAGCAGACAAAGACTAGATAAGTCTAGAAGGGCAGTTGTGACTGCAAGGCTTTTTTGACTCAGAAAAATAGAACAAGAACATACGGTAACTGTGATCTATTTTTTTTTCCTGTGGTCTTAGAGACATTCCTAATGATTCTAGTGTCAGTTGTTAGGCCTGTAGTGCACTGACACACATTCAGAAAATAAGCGAAAAAGTGAAAAATTTACTTTCACTCCAGTTTTGTGTGTTATCAAGAGTTGCCAAGTTAGAAGGATAGCTCCTTCAAGTGAAGGTCCGTGTAAGGAAGCAGCTCTATATCTGAGACTTGACGATGTTGAAAAGGGAAGTAGTAGTCAGAGGTGTAAGCTTTTATTCTCATACTGAAGACAAATAAAGAACACACAATGAAGGGAGTTTCTGTTGTATGCTTCCAGACTGGTTCTGAAATCTCTTAGTACTTATGCAATCAAAAATCTAATTCAAATAATTGGGTTCATCATGGAAATAGAAGATTATTTACCTAGAGGGAGGTATGATGACTGATGCTGTGATACTTTGATCTGTGAGCTACTCTGCACGTCAGCAGTCCTGATTTTTTTTGTTGTTTTGACGTTTAGAAGTCAGGCACTGTGATCCATTTGTAAAACTTGATTCATATTTTTATTTGTATTACTAAAGAACTTCAAGGCTTTACTCATGGGTTAGGACTGCACTATGCTTTGAACATTATACACATATGACAAAAAGATAGTCCCTTCCTGAAATCACTTAAAACTCTCTGTGTAAATCTAAGTAGATCGAAAATGGTGGAGAAATGTAATGGCCTCAAGTTGTGCTGTGGAGGATTATGTTGGATATTAGGAAAAATTTCTTCACCAAAAGGGTTGTCAAACACCGGAACAGGCTGCCCAGGGAAGTGGTTGGGTCACCATCCCTGGAACTATTTAAAAGACGTGTAGATGTGGCACTTAGGGACATGGTTTAGTGGTGGACTTGGCAGTGTTATGTTGACAGTTGGACCCGATGATCTTAAAGGTCTTTTCCAACCTAAATGATTCTATGATAAATGAAGCAGTAATGCAGTATGGGTCATCATCTCAGCACTTCAGCAATCTGTTGATTGCTGTTGTAGGAATCAAAACAGGCATTTAAGTGGGATTTTGTATTATGAGAGGGATTGCCAGTTATTTATTGGTGACTCCTTCAGAACATGAAGGACAGCAAAGGGGAACTCACACTTTGAAAATGTAACAACTGAGTGACAAAGGCTGGTATCAAAGGTAGGGCAGAAGGGAGATGCCTGGGGATAAATCACAAAGAGCTTTGTATTTGAAGACAAGAGGCTTGTATTTGTGACTGAGAACGAGGAATCAATGAAGGAACATAAACAGGGAATAACATAATACAGATAGTAAAGGGAGATCTGTGGAAGAGCATTGCACATGGATACAAACAGGGGAGACTGCATTTGTGAAGAAAATGATGTTGCAATAATTGATACAGGGATGGCAGGCCTTGAGAGTGTGAGTTTTAACTATGTGAATGAAAATGGAAAGCCATGTATTAGTTTAAATCCTGGCAAGTCTTTCTTCATAGGTATGGACATGGATGTGAGAGTCTAAGGAGGACTCTTCAAGAAATTTCTGGTGAAAACTGTTATGATGGGAAGGAGATAAATGGAAGTCTGGGTGTGATAGGTGAAGAACTCTGTTTTAGTCAATCTTGAGAGTCTGAGATTGTAAGAGTAACTAAAGTAAGACTAACTTTACTGATTTCACAAGTTTTGTTTTCCCTTGTTTTGTGATGCTTTGTATTTTTTTACAATTTAGCAAAGCACTTCCTAATCAAACTCATTTGGATTTATTCAAGGATGTTGAGAAAGGTTTTCCTATTCAAGTGTTTGAAGAAGAACACACTGCCCCAATTTCTGAGTGCAACTTGACTCCTGATGACAGAAGGTGACCATTTTCTATCTTAATTTATTAAAAAAAAAAAGTTACGGGTTTTGTGATTTTTAAGGTTCAATATCAGTGCATGTGGAAACAGTACAAAATTTAGAACAAATAAGTTAGTTTTTCAGTCCTTCCTATAGGTTCCTAACTTGTGCTACATGAAAGTCAAACTTATTTTGCTTACTTTCATGCTCCATGATGTCAGTCTGTTATAATTTTGTCTTACACCTCCCTTCCTCCATACACTCCTCCTACTTCTCTCCATCCTTGCACTTTCATTTATGCTGTCCATACTCTGCTAGCAGACTGTTCACTGCCAGACTCCTTCATCCACATGGACTACCATAAATCTCCCCTTGTTCTCACCTACAATTTGTACAGGAACTCTTAAATCTTTTCTGTTTTACCTATGATGTCTGCTGAATCAAACAGGAATCTTTTTATTGTCTTAAATGCATGTTGGAATAGCCTGATAGATTATGGCCTCTTTTAGAGCGAAGGACTTGTCTAATTCTGAGTTATAAGGGGCTAGAAGTCTATCTTTGCCATATATTCTGAAAGGGGTATATAAATATATATCACTTGTATAAAAGAACAACATTGAATTAGCCAAGGTTCAAGGGTTCATCTGTCAGGGAGATTTATACATTCATAAAAGTTCTTTTCTGTCTGTATTGTTTATTAATATTCTATAGCCTTTCCATTAAGCCTATCCTGTCAATTAAAGAAGAAATGCATCTTAATCTAGTGTCAATCTGTGGACATAATAATTAAAACAATTGCAGCATATATTAAGATTCAGTTCAGTGGGTCATGCAGTGCCTCCAGGGGTACTATTTCTGGCATATTTTGTCATTAAGTCATAGTTTAAATCAATTTTTACCAGATTGTAGAGTTGAGCGATTAGTTTTTTGATCACTGAATAGCACACATGGTAAGCTGCCTATTGCAATTGTGTATTTTTTTGAAAATTGCTGAACAGCAAGTAAAATACCATTGTGTACAGCCCTGGAAACTACTTTCCAGTCAAAAATGCTGCCAGTTCATAAAACTTCATGTGGTCTTTTGCGTTAACATGTTTCCGCTTAGGAACAGAGATTGTGTTGGTTGCAGGAACTATACAGGCGTGGAGAAAATAAAGATTTTAGTAATATAATTGTATTTTTAGTTTTTAGAATGTTAATGCATCAAGTTTCTTGGGCAAAATGTATAAAAGTGACAGTTTATGAACTTTATCAAAATAAAAAGCCACAATGGTATGGAAAATATTTGTCACATCCGGTGACTTTTCAATATAAATAATACTTTAGATATTTGGGAATATTTTAATAAAACTGTGTAAGGAAAAAATTTTTGACCTCCCGTTTAATGGAAGCCTGCCAGTTTTAGTAAACTTTACTGAATAGCTTTGTTGTCTGATGTGGCTTTTTGTTTATGCAGAGCAGCATTTGTGGTAGAGGGTTGCCCAGCAACATAACCACTGAAAATCCAAAAAACCCTACTGACAAGAACACTTCACATTCATTAAAGAAAAGACAATGTAATGGCTTTAAAATTATTTTAACGTTAGAAATAATTAAATATCTTGTAATGGATGAAATGAAATTAAGTTGGCTGCTTGCACTGAAAATAACATACATGACATTTTTATTATTAGTTTCTATCTGATATATAAATAATCCTTTTTTCAACTAAGCTATGCAATAATTTTTGCTGTAGCCTTTAAAAATCTATTTTAAATCAGTGGGTGTGAGGATGTTGAATCATTGTCAGAATTAAGTGTTGTCATTTATTTTTAAAATACCTTCTTTTACGTAAAAATATTGATTGCTGTTTTCATTAACATAATTTTTAGAATGATAACATCATCATATGATAACACGGTCAAGGCTTGGGATATGGAAACAGGAAAAATAGTTGTATGTATCCTTTTGAATGCATCTTGCAGAAGGTACAACTGTAAAATTCAGATTAATTGCTTTGTTATTGATAAATAAGAAAACACAACATTCTCTGTTAGCACAATACAATATAGTTAGGGTAGGTAGGCTTGAGTTTTAGTCCTAGCTTTGGTACTGATAATTGCTTGATCTTGGGTTAGTCTCTTGATGAACATGTCTCAGTTATTTCAGATACAAATGGGTATGATAATAATAACCTGCCTCAGAAGATACATTTCAGATTGATTAAATTAGCATTTTAGGATTTAAACAGGTTGGCCTTGTCTAATTTTAAGTTTATTGCCAAAGCAAAAGTAAAAAAATTGGATATAAAGACAGCTATCAGCTTTTACCAAAACAAAGTAATAACAGAAGCATTCTTTCTGAATCTGCTTACCCATTATAGAAAGTCTGTTGTAAAACTCTCTCTAACCCTCAAGCTGTTTCTAAAATCTTTTATTTTCTCTTTAGTGGACAGTAGAACATGAAGGCATTGTAACTTCATGTAATATTTCTTGTGATGGTAGATATGTGGTATCTGGTTCAGACAAAGAAAATACAGTATATGTTTCTGATGCACGAAGTGCAACACTAGTAGCACATATCCAAGGTAAGACTTAGGACTCTTACGTCTTGTTTATGCAGCTCTTGGTGTTGTTTTTCTTTTTTAATTTCTTACAAAAAAATGAGAAAATTAATTAATTCAGTTCAAATACCCTTACTTGAGAAAGGCAAAAGAAACTTATCTGTAAGACATTAAACCCAGTATTATTCAGAATAGGCTTATAAAAAGGAGATAATGGGCCAAAATTAGACCAACAGTGATTCTTTTTTGAACAATAATTTCCCTTCGAAGGTAATTTCTCTAGTGAGACCTCAGTCCTATGAGGCTTCCACTCAGGACTACAGTTCAGGGAGTTTGCCATTCCTGCAGAATCAGCTTTAAAATATATAAGCACTCTTACAAATGTTAAATTAGCATATGGTTAATGTGCTCTTGTGAATCAGAGCCTGATGGTAAAATAATTTGGATTTAAAAATAAAAATTGCAACAAATGGATCATAATACCTTTATTAGAATACCTGTTTCTGTTAGATGACACTATCAGGATGTATTTTGTTTACATTATTTTAATGGAGCTATTTGTGTCTTAAAGTATAATTACCTGCTTAAGTACTCCCTAAGAGTCTAAGCAGTTAACTGTCATTGGCATTAGGGGGCCACACTTCCGGACTTATTTTCAGGAATGGAGCAGAGAAGTAAGTTACTACAGGGTGTCCTCGTTTCAGCTGGGATGTAGTTAACTGTCTTCCTAGTAGCTGGTACAGTGCTATGTTTTGAGTTCAGTATGTGAAGAATGTTGATAACACTGATGTTTTCAGTTGTTGCTGAGTAGTGTTTAGACTAAAGTCAAGGATTTTTCAGCTTCTGATGCCCAGCCAGCAAGAAGGCTAGAGGGGCACAAGAATTTGGGAGGGGACACAGCCAGGACAGCTGACCCCAACTGGCCAAAGAGGTATTCTATACCATGTGATGTCATGCCCAGTATGTAAACTGGGGGGAGTGGGGGTGGGGGGATTGCCGCTCGCAGACTAACTGGGCATTGGTCAGCAGGTTTGTACATCACTTGTATATTCCAATCGTTTTATTATTACTATTGTCATTTTATTAGTGTTATCATTATTAGTTTCTTCTTTTCTGTTCTATTCTTATCTCAACCCACGAGTTTTACTTTTTTTCCGATTCTCTCCCCCATCCCACTGGGTGGGGGGGAAGTGAGTGAGCAGCAGCGTGGTGCTTAGTTGCTGGCTGGGGTTAAACCACAACAGAAACAATACTATAGTTAATTATCTATGGCATTATTTGCACCTTTCACAATTATCAGTGAGATTTATGATAATATTTGTACTAAAGAAAATGAACAATAATTGTTGAACTAAATACAGTAATACACAAGCAAATGACATATATAGAAAGTGTGAATATAATGGTCCACTCAAGCTTCCTGCTGTAAATAATTGAAAAATTGTATTTTGATGACTGTAAGCGTTTCTAGTGCTATTTTTTTTAGAGCTTCTAGGTTCTTGGGTATGTATAGCAGCAGAAGATAGCATATGCAATATGGTACTGCAGTGTAAACTTGTTCTAATTTCTACCAATTAGGAAAAATGTAAAATCATTGATAAATGAGGAGGTAAAGTATTACTTAGAATAGTGAAGTCTTTAAAAACATCATGGAGTGAAGCAAAAATAATGCCGAGGAAAAGGAGAAAAATATATCTAGATGTTGGAAATTGATAATTAATTGTGAGTTCTTACAGAATATTTTGTGATAATTAGGTTTTGCACTGCAACCAGATCACCTTAGCCCTTCATAAAATTCATGGTCCTGAGAGCAACCACAGAATGATCTACTCTGCTTGTAATGAGCTCCAGTGAAGACCTCACAGACTTCCAAACAATCTGTTCTGTTGTCTCACTGTGTTAATCATTAGAAAGATTTTCCTAAGGTGGGCTATTTTGGCTGCAGCGTAAGCTCACATGTTTCTGTGTAGATCCACTTTAGACATGGAGATCAGATTATTTGCTTGTTTTCTTCTACATTTTAATATATACCTAAGAACTTCTATTATATGAGTCATCTTTTCAGTAGATTAAACCATCCTTATTAATTTAATATTTAATTACTATTTCCTATTTTACTAATCATTCTTGTTGTTAATCTCTGAGATCTTTCCAACTGGCCCACATTTTTCTTGAATTATATGGTCCCATAATGTAAACAGTATTCCCTCTAACTGGAAAAAAATAGAAATGAATTATTATTACATGCTTCTCTCTGGATGTGCCTCTGTTCATACATCCTGGGATGAGATTTACTCTTTTTTTTTGACAGCATGATGGTGAAGAGGAGTTGGTATTTGTTGCATCCTTTTTTGCAGAATTGTGATGCAGTCCATTGTTCCCACTCCTTATCTGTGCAGTTGATTATTTTATGTTACTACAGAATGTCAGACTTGAAAAAATTGACCTGATCAGGCAGTGTGCATATTAGATAGTCGATTAAACACTGTAAGCCTCCTGCAAACTGCAGTGATGACAGCATTGTTTCCTATAGAGACTGTTACAACCCTTTATTTTCTTGATAATTTCTTCAATTTGTGAAGATAATTCTGAATTTTAATCTTCTCCCTTGTATAACTGCAGACCCTCTTCGGCTTCATTTCACATCTGTACTATTTATCTCATCATCTACATTGTTAATGGAAGTATGAAACAGGACTGGATTCAAGACAGATGCTGTGGACCCCTGCTCACTATGTACTTTCATTTTCACAGTGAACCAATTATGGCCACTCTCTGAGTACAGAGATCATTTTTCCATATATGCTTTTGGAGGTCATGCCCAGTACCAGAAGCCTTGCTCAGTATGATTTCCTGAGCTTTCACATGCTAAACTTTTATATCTCTCACTGAAGTCAGTAATACAGTAAAAACATTATGTCAATTTAGGATATTGTTATCATTTTAAGAAAGAAGTATGCAACAATAAAAATGTCAAATCAACCATTAAAAATATCAATGGCTTTAAATAAACTCAACCAATTTAGCTTTGAATTCCTAAAACAATAATCAGAGGGAGAGTCTGCCTTTAAACACTGTAATAAAATTCTCTTTGAGGGATTAGGAATTACTTTGGATGGGAAATTCAATCTGGAACATTGTAATGTTTCTTTTAAATTGCAGTGACTATAGCATTGTTTCCTGTAAGAGATGCTCGTAATCCTTTCCCCACTGTAGATTTCAGGAAGCACTAGAGTCCTCACCCATTTCTGGAACATCCAGATTTCTTTTCTGATGGGTATCACTGCTTCCAAAATTAGACTTTAATCTAGGATTGTTTAATCTTTTTCCTCTGAATGTTTGAGTTGAAATTTACATGTAGAGGTAGATGTGTGCTATTTATTTAATGAAAAACGGGTGGCTTTTTTTTGTAATATACTTTTAGTAAAGTGTGGTTGTGTTGTAGCTGCTGAACAATTTCTTGTGAAGCTGCGTTCAACAAAAAAAAATAGCTGGTCACTTATGACTTAACAGCTAGGGTTCAGTCCTGCAAAATGACCTAATCCAATACGGGATTTAAGCCTGTGCTGGGTGTGAGGTTGTAAGCAGCTCCAGAGACTTTACAGAACTATTTGTATGGTTAAGATTCAGGATATGCTTATGATGCTTTACTGGATGGAGACAGGGTGCTCAATGTTGCAGGAGGCTCTTTGAGAGATTTGTAATGGTTACAAAAGCTTACTCTTACCGTGGTTTTCATCCGTGTTTCAGGGGACACAGCAATGCTATCTCAGATTGCTGCTTTACCTCTGATGGTCATTACTTGTGCACAGCATCCTGGGACAAAAGCTTAAAAATATGGGATATAAAGACAGAAGAATTTCGGTGTCATGAACCTGTTTCCCTGAACGAAGGACATGAGGGTTCTGTTAGTTCCTGCCTTTTTAGCCAAGATGGTGAGTTATCTTAATACTGGTGCATGATGTATCTCAATACCTATGTATAGGTAATCATGTAGGTAATTAATTCATCATTTCTGAGATAACATGTTAAATTATGAGAAAATTATATCCATGTAAATAAGTAAATTGAAGTTGATGTTCTGTCAACCAGGCAACTGGAACACTTGCTTAATTGATATACCCATCAAAAGGTATAATAAAAAGATCATAATGGAGTAAAAGCACAATACCATGTTAGAAGATTAACTTAGCATTTGCAGATATTCTCCTAACATTAGTTAGTTGAAAAAAGATGTTCAGTAAATACTGTACTGATTTGTCATAATTAGGAAAATGTGTATCTCTTTGTTAGTACCCCCAAAAGTAACGTTACTTCCCAGCCCAAACAACATATGCTAGTAATGTACTTCTGAAAAACTTCATGGATGTTCTCAGCTACACTGATGGAGCACATAAACTACCATGTTCAAAGTAGATTATATTTATGAGTTATAGCAAGACATTTTGGCACCTGGAACTTGATGTCTCCTTGATGTTTGGATGAATAGGAGGAGAACAGGAGGAAGAAACAAACTCTCCAGTTTACCTATATCTGCGTGGAGGTAATGGGGAGCTATTTCTTACTGCCCTAGTTGCATTACTTTCACTAGTTCTTAGACAACTCCTGGTCCCTCCACAACATGAAATTAGTGTTACTGCAAACTGCTACTGCACTGAAACAACTTCTCTTCACTGGGCTGGACTAATAAGAATTTCTGTACATTGTGATCTAATTGTTTTCTTCTGCCACTTCACATCTGAATACTCCAGTAAAGATGACTCCTGACAGTGGGTTAATCTGCAGTCATACCCAAACAGTGCCTTCTGAGTTAGGCAACTCAGAAAAATAAACAGCGCTCTATGGGGAAAACTATACCTGTGGCTTGAAGACATGCAACTGCAGATAGGCCTGTGAATATTGGAATCTGAAAGCATGCTTTCCACACTAAACTCTACTTTTTTGTTTTTATTCACAGTTGACCTAAAAATTCTGCAAGTATTCTCTATCTTCTAAATTTTAGGTATCTCCTTAATTTTCTAAGTCAACAAAATTTTCATGCGTGGTTTTTTCCACTCAGTTGTATGTTTGCTAAGTTAATGGATTAATATTTACAAAATTAAGAACATTAACAAGAGTAGCTAAAAGGAACTTTGCTGTCTTGTTAAGGCATGACTGATAGCTCGTTATTTATATTTTTTTATAAAGTCTGACTCGTTGTTAGAAGGAGCCTCTTTTATTAGTCTGTATGAAAAAGCAAAGATAAAGTATTCTGTTTTTACATTTCAGCATCCCTTGTTGTGTCTGGTGGATATGACAACACTATAGCTATATGGGATACAGATGCAGGCTATAAAAAGCTAAGCTTAAAGGTACTGAGCTCTTACTTGGTCACTGGTTTGATGAGAAGGTGTAAAATGTATTGCTGGTTTAAAAGCACAGTATATTTCATTATCTGGCAAATAGATTTGCCCGTCCTTTTTAGATACTGGCAGGAATATATCCTGGATTTCTGTGATTTATTTTCCTAGAAGAGTATATTCTTATACAGTTAGCTACAAAGATACCTTTGTCAAGTCACTTGTTAATAAGCTATTGCATTTCTCTTTTTATGAACAAGCTCATTTAAGGATTAAATTAAATGGAGTTGCACCTGTGTTTTAGGAGAGAGTTTCTTCCAGCAAGTAACAAGAGCCTAGATAGTGCATATATTCATTTTGAAATGCCACACTCCTCTACATGTGTATGTTTACATGTTTGCTTATGTCCACAGAAAATGGTATATTAAAAGGGAAGCATTTAAAAAAAATGTAAATATAGGTGTTGAGGTTGTCAAGCTTAGCTCAGTCACTAGGTTACATAGTTTACATTACTGCTTATAGTGACAGGGATGTGGTCCACCATGTTACAGTATTTTTTAGGATAGACAATTCTGCAAATGAGGTAGCAATTCAGTGTTTAGCTATTCCTGCTTAGAGCTAGGCCTCCTCTTTTCTTCCATATCCATGGTAATACTACCCAAAATTTGAGGTGGTAAGTAATACCTGCATAAAAAAAAAAAAAAAAAAATCCAACTCTCACTAGGTTTTTTTTGTACCACCATGACTTTTATTTTTTGCAGACATACCATATTGTATTACCATACCCTTCATTTGTTTCTTATTTTAGTGGAAACAATCCACAAGACTTGAACTAATGATCAGACATGTGGGCCAAAGAAAAGGATTAACAGTATTCATAAAGTTATGTGCATGCATTTTGCAAATATTAATTTCACAGAAGGCAAGCAATGTCAGAGTTCAGATTTGCAACCTTGGCTCTTTCCTATCTTACGTAAATACAATTTTAATGGACTTTTTTTTTTTTTTTTTTTTTTCCTTACTGCATACACTATTCAACACATAGTTAAAACAGTCATGAACAAGCCCACCTGGAAGATCTCAGAAAAGACCACTTTCCTTCAAAACCTTGGGCTTAAAAATAGCTTTCAACTGCTGTCACATCCAAGACAGCATCTTCGTATAGGAGAGCTCATAAGCCTGTCCCTCACACCCATTACCTTAAATGTAAGCTTACCTACCCTCCGGAACTGGAACTCTACTGATTAAACCTTTTGAGCAGTAACAGTACACATTCTCCACCAGCATCGGTGCTTTACATAATACAGCTACTGCAGAATTCCCAGTTCACAGCAATCACTGTAACTAACTCTGTTTCCCATAAAAAAGAAGGCATCTGTTTAAATACTAATATCTTTGTAACTATGGAGAATTCCAGTTTAGTATCTGTGCCTTGGTATAATTATATTCTGGGCTCATAACTAAATTTAAAAACATGTTTTAAAGATTCTGCTATAAAAATTATGGTTGATGTATGCATGTTTGACTACTCTGTACTGGAAAAATGTATGTTCATATTTTTATTGTATGTCTCAGGTGTGGCATTTGTCTATCAAAATGACACTTTAGGAGTTTTATCTGTTAATAGCATTCATGTTTGAATAACCTCCCTAGCTGGAATAAATAATTCACTTTAGATATTAACCTGTTTCTATTCTTATGCCAAATCAATGCTGTTAACCTCAGATCAGCTGTGCTGCTGTTGTCAGAACAAGGATATCCAATACAGCTGCTTGACTTGGCCTGCTTTCAGAACTGGTTTTCTTCCCTTAAAATGGGGCGAAGCCGCTGTCTGTTCCTACAGCTCTTCCCTCCATTATAACACAATAAACAGCCTCAAGATTTTTTAGGTAATGAGTATTAGAAGTCAACTCTCTCTTTACAATTCTTTATTAAACTCTTTAAAAAACAGAAAAGACCTATGCTTAAATGGAGCTTAAACCCATGGTAACTGTGTAACTGTCATACTTCTAAGTGCTACAACTGTTGGGCTGCTTACCAGAGATGGTAACAGCCACTGTTTTCAGGTGTATGTAGGAAAGTATGAACTTCATAGCAACATTTTTTTCTTGACTGGACATGAGGCAGTCTAGATAAGAATTTTCTCACTGCATTTCAAAATGCATTTATGGTACCAATAGTTGTTTTTATTATAATAAAAATAATAACTTTTTTTTCTTGTGTTATAGTTTAATTTTGCTTTACTGTAGGGTCATTTGGACTGGGTGACAGATGTTGCGATTAGCAAAAACAAGAAATGGATTCTTTCAGCCTCAAAGGTAATCACTAATTCCTGATGTAGTTTCAGGAGCTAACTTATAAATGGATGTGAAGATTTCATCCCTTGTTTTCAGCTTTTTTTGGATTAAATTTAACAATGGTCAAGTTGCTCATAAAAGTGCTAAGTTGTAACCAGTATTTACCTCAAGTAATTACAGAAAATCTTTAAAAGAATTTGGTAAGTATGTTTATTTTTGGTTATTTTAAAATGTGCGGTCAGTTTAAGATTGCTAAAGATTGTTTCCAAAGACATGATATTTAAATGTGAGAGAGTTTAGCTCTCATATTGAGAGGGTTCATCTGATGAGATGAGATTTCATCCTTAGGGGAATGATGTAAATCACTCTTTTGGTAATATGCAAACACATCAAAATAATTGCATCTTTTTCACAGGATTCTACTTTGAGATTGTGGAATATTGAAAAGATGGATCATATTCCTTCAGTGATAGAAATCAGAAAAGCAAGAGGCTCAAAAATTGCTCAGGTTCTATCACTTTGTTTTTTAACCACATCTTGTACTTTATTCAGAAAGAAAATTTGAATGTTAAAGGAAAGCTGTCAAATTTCTGGGCTGAAAACACAAATTTATTGTGTTTGTTCTCTCTTTGTAAAAATTGTCAAATCCTTTGTTGGGAGTGGGATGTAGTAATAACAGTACTTCTAAAAAATGATTTTGGTAAGGACACCAGTTTTCATATACAGGTGCATTTTTGGTTTTAGAAAACAGCCACATATGTGTACTTTTAAAAATAAACATATTTTGGTTTTCTGTACCTGGTGCTTCTGCAGAGTAATTGGCTGTTTATATAGGAGTATTCCTAAACCAAGGCAGATAATATTCATGTGCTCCTGGACATAAATCAACTTATATGAATTCTGAGGAGTGTCTTTTTAAAGCTGAGACTGTATGTATTCTGACTTCTAAAACATGAATTATAAATAGGTGTTAGCAAAGAAGAACATTAACAAGCTTAATGATATTGAAACGTGCTTTTTATTACAGTCCCTCAATTGGTTTTGGTAGTGGATTTGCAAGATCTTGTATTTTCATCCTTGTCAATAACCATTAAGTGAAACTGCATGAAAAACAACTAACTTTTTTCCTTATTTCTACGATATTTTATCAGACTTTCTTGTTGAATAGCAAGTATTCAAAAGCAGTGAGCAGCTTTTTAAGCTTTTAAATAAGTTTTATAAATTTGCCAGCAGTGAAAATGTGTACATTCCTACAAGTATCAATTAACAGAAATTTGAGAATATGGTTAAAATTGGTACAGGAAAGGATTATTGGTGCATTTTAGCAATACTTAAAGCATACCAAACAATTAGAGAAATGTCTCAAATTTTTTGTAAATAGTTTCCCGAGTAGTGAATTGGGAATCAAGTTACATTGACTCTGATAGAATTGGATTAGACTTCATGAGTATGTGTGTAGTCAGCAGAAAAACTTCCTTCTACTGACTACAGTGGGTTAATATTTCATCTAAAATTACTGTTATGTATCAATTTTCCTTTCTTTTTTTATTCTTCTTTCTACATGTCTCCTTTAGTAAGATAATGGTCAGGTAAAAAAAAAGTAAACAAAAAAAGCCCCAAACCACCAAGACAGAACAGCTAAAAACTGGATACCCATCAAGCCACCCAAAAAGTAAAGTATGATACTGTATTAGTTGGAAAAAAATAAAATGAGAGTTCACATAAAATACAGTTCTATTCAGGAAAAAAACTCGATTCAGCACAGGAATGAATTTTGAGCAGCACTACCTGTGTCAAGTTTACAACAGCTATGCATACGCAGTGCATCTCAAAAATGAGGCCTAGATATATGTGTGAATATAGAGCTGTACCTTCATGAGTGAAATAATGCAGATCTGTCGCAGGTGATTAACTGAAATGCCATTTTTTGTTATATTTACACCAGTGTGAAGAATGTGAAAAAACTTTCTTATGCCTGCAACGTAGTGACTCTGAAACGATATCCAAGTGTGTATTCTGTCGTCTGTCTTCTCCAGTGAGAAAAATTTTGCCATTGCCACCTTCTGTTTCTCCTGATGTTTAAATTAATCTAGCAGTCTTGGGATGTTAACACATTTAAGTATAAACGGAGTATCTGTACATCTTTATGTAATACACGTATAAAGCTAAGACTTTCCTCTAACCTTGCTCTACTGTAGTATTCTGTATGAAGAATAATAAAATACATTGTACTAATCCATTAAATAGCTGTGATATATCAAGTAAAGAATAAAATCCCCAGGAACAGAAATCTTACTTAGGCTGCATGGTACTAGAGAATAAAATTACTTACTTGTCCTTTGGGAAATTTTAAACAATTTTAAATGAATACACTAGTTCTGAGTTCAATTTACTAAAGAAAATATGTGGATATGTAAATTATTGACAGGTTTCCTTCCGTTCTTTAGATAAACCATTCTTCTTTACTATGGCAAACAAAGAATCTTTGCTATCAGTGAACATCAGAAAGAGTTCTGTGAGTAAAACCATGAATAAGACCATGAACTTTTTTCTAACTTGTTGCCATACCTCTTACAAAAATTTTGTAAAGGAGCTTTCAGGCATTGAGAGTAAGTTGTGGTTCATGTCTGACGTGATGCAGCACAAATTAATTCTGTGTAATAAAGACTCCTCCAACAAGGAGAGTGGTATTTTTTCTACCCTTTCTTAGGAGCAACCCTGAGAGGATTGTATCTTTTCAGTGTATGTGAGAATGTCAATTAATAAAATATTAATTGTTTCAAAATGTTGGGAAGCCTTATTCCTAAAAATAGCGTTTTCAACTTTTTCAACATTCCTTTCTAAAAGGAACTTAAAGTGGAGGAAATAGGTGGATCTGGGCATGTGACAGCCTGGAATGCAGTTAAGCTGTGGAATACAAAGAAATCTAAGTAGGTAGATTTTTTCCCCTTGTTTAAATTATGTGAATTGTGTAGCAACAATTACACTTGAATCAAGGTTAAATGAAAAATATTTCTAGGGAATAGTATGTTTTGTACAGATTTATGGCTTTGAATAAGTAGTACGTGATAAATTGTATTATTTTCCAGCGTTCTTTTCCCCTCTTTACGCCTTAATTAAAAATTATTGTTTTGTTACAGAGGCTAAAGGAAAATGCTGTGTCTGTGCTCCTCATGTTTTTTTCAAAAACAAATTGCATAAAATATGCATGTTTTATAGCTGAATTCATTTGGCTTTAATGTAGTTAGTAATACTGAACTAATTTCTGTATGTTAGAAAAGATTAGTCCTAGAATAATTAATGCTACATTAGAATTGAAAGTGTTCTTTGTTTCTTTCTTTATCCTTTTCAGCTGGAAAAATCAAAGCTGAAACAAAGCGGTTTCCACTGAACAGGAAAAAAAGCAGTTGCTCTATAGAGGCTTGGTTCATTTTGCATTAGTAATGTGACGAGGTGGGAAATTTTCTTTTGAATGAATCCTCTTTCTATTTCCCAAATTGAGAAAAACAAGGAAAAATGAATTCTTACATTCTGGTTTTAATAAAATCAGTAAGTCTTATCACTTATTGCTGTTTTCTGTCCATTACCATCACCTGTGTTCAGTGCTTGGGTGCCAAGTGAGTCAGCTTGTCTTCAGCCCTGAACCGCTCTTGTACCCCTGTAGTTTGACTAATTCACTCAGTCCCCATTCTTACCTGATGAGAAAGTTGTGAGACTGTTTTAGACCCAAGTCACTGTGGCTGCCCTTCTGTGGGAGTTACCTGAAGAATAACATCTATAATTTGGCTGTAAATATGCCTTAGATGCCTGTTAAATTGCCAAAGCAATCTCTACGCTTTGCAGATTCTGATTACGCTGCAGGTGTGTAATCAGGTCTATTCATGAAGATGATCCTTTCCCCATAACCTTGGGTTGTGGGCCAGGCTCCATGTTTGCTCATGGCTCATTCCTACCCGGTAACACCTTTCGTTTCTTGGTGCGGTGCATCCTCCTTTGCTGCCCTGCGCAGGTAACAGGCTAAAGGGCTGGGGCCCTGAGGGAAGGCGTTCTGCTGGTGGCAGGATCAATTGTGCGTGAAGAATTCTAATTAGCTCTGTAGAAAACTAGCCAAATCACTTCTTCTAGTTATTTAACTTGTACAAACATGTGTGTGTTTGGTACAGGCTCTCTGGTGTTATGTGCGTGCACAGATCATAAAGCACATAAGCAGTGTGTGCATATGCATATTGTAGTTTAAGTTTTGCTTCATTATAGATGATTGCACCATGTAATCGAGGCCCGATCTTCCCTTGGTAGCATTTGCCGTGAGCCTTGGGCAATCGAGACTCTGGGATAAGGCAGGACTGGAGCCTAACCGTAAGCAATCTTGCATAAATATTTTTTTGAAATGCTGACACTTATGTATTTTCTTTCAGCCTTTAACATGTGTTGTGCCAATGCAAATGCTAACGTGTGCGTGCAATTTGCAGTCACGCACGGAGAAGTAAGTCTCCCGCAGAGCCGTGGCCGCAGCCGTTCCTTTCCAGAGGCAGCACAAGGCGCCCTTCGCCCCCCTGAGCTGCAGCTGCGTGTCTGAACCTCGGCAGGAGCTGAGCCGACAGCGGGACCGAGCCCGCTGCCTCATCGTGCCGGCCTGCGAGGGCAGTTCCGCCGGCAGCGCGGCCGGGCCGGCTTGCGGCGGCGGTACCGGCAACGGTATCGGGGCACGGCGGGACCGATGTATTGGGTCCGCGCGGAAACTCAACTTATCGCCCGGCGCCGTGGCTTAGTTGGTTAAAGCGCCTGTCTAGTAAACAGGAGATCCTGGGTTCGAATCCCAGCGGTGCCTGCGCGGGGCGGAGCCCGCCTTTTGCTCTCGGGCGCTGCGGGGACGGGACGGGGTTGCGCCGGGGCCGCCCGTGTCGCCGCGGCCGGAGGGGGCGGCGGGCTGCGGCTCCGCTGCAATTAGGAGGAAAAACGCCTTTATATACGTGTGTATATAAAAGTCACAGTCGTCGCAATTCAGGCAGCGCCCTGCGCGCTTTACAGCGGAGGTTACGCCCCACCCCCGGGACTTTATTCATAGAGCGCCAAGCAAATGCCTCTCTCACATGTCTTCTTTTCGTGTCTCCAGATCTTCAGTAGTCTCTCAGGTAAATGAAGCTATTCTTTCCTTTTGTTCTTTCCTCTCACAGTTTGAGTGCGTGTTGGCTAGGTGGCTGATGCCGAGGCTTTTGTCACCCATCAGTACGGACACCTACCCTACCTTCTCTTCCTACTTTCTTGTGTTACATAAAGTCTGGCTTTTCCAAGTGAAAGTTGTAGTAAGTGCTCTGTGCTGTTCTCCATGTAATTACTGACACAGTAGAGGGACAGAAGGTTTTCCTACGCATCTTTAAAAATCAAAGGCCAAACCCTGCCCTGTTAGGCTTGTGAATTAGGTTCAGTGACATTATTCCAAATTTGTGTTACTGTAAACCAAGGCAGAATCCATCCTCAGATCTAAAGACAAAAGGCTTAAAATCTGTTAATACAAGTCCCAGCCTAGCAGCCATATCCTTGGGCATTTTGGGGGCCTCACACAGCATATTTGGAGGGTGAGGTTTTCATGACTCAGATCTGCGGCCAAATCACAGCTGTCAGTAGCCCCAGATGCAATGTATAAGTCTTAATGTCCAGGATGAGCATCTTTGGTTAGAACATTTACCTGCAGGAATCTTTCTTTGAGTACTATTTACTGTAAAAATGGAACAAAGATAGTATTTGATAGGTGGTAAATATAAGTAAACCCTAATTGTACGTTGCAGTATGTTTTTTTTAAATTAGGAGTATCTTGGGATTAACATCCATAAATCGGCATTGTCTAAAAGAAAATAAGAAGAACTAGAGTTAAAGACAATTGGAAAGTGCCAATTAAGGAAGATTTGGGGAAAAGAAGCTGCGGTTAATGTCAGCCAGGTCCCCTGCTGCTCCTCAACCAGCGGCAGTTTGGATCCTGCAGGAAACAAGAATTTTGAAAATAAAAATCTTGTGAGGATGTTTCTGTTCCTCTGACCTTTGTAGCTGATACAAAATCACGCAACTTTCTAACACTGATTTTGAGCCACAAATGAGGTGCAAAGTCCATGGACCTGTGAAATTTTAGTATCAGGAAAACCCAGTAGTTTAGCGTCAAATAAATACTGCAGTCACGAACAGTGACACCATGGGGACAGACTCCACTCTGGAGGAAAGGGTTGGCTGGGGCTCCTGCTGCTGCACTGGTATGTAAGGGAGAGGCATGTCTGTGTCCTCCCTGCCTCCCCATGCGTGGACCCCACAGCTTCTCTTCTGGATTTGGCTGTTAGAATAGTGCTTGCTGGACACCTCTTTCTTTCCTGTTAGGGCCCCGCTTCCTCCACTTGCAGCTTTTTTGTCCATTAGGAGAATAGTGCCTGAAATGAAGAACAAAAAAACCCAAATACTCTGGTAGGTTTTGCACATGCTGTTTGTAAACAGACTTGTTCACAGCTCTTGCATGGAGAGAAAGATGATCTAGAGGTTCTTTATTCTGGATATGTTTATATGCTGTTACTCTGCTAGTTTCCATCCAGTTTCTGTTCTTTAGATTGTAGATTAGAACCACAGATGTTAATGAGTATCTGGGTGTTTGTATCAAAACTGTTAACACTCTTTTTTGATGCATCAGCAGGAATGGCATGACGAGCCAGCCAGGATGGCACCAGAGTGGGCTGGTCACTGTGTACTTCCTAAAAGTACCCTAAAAAAAGCCTCAAAACGTCTGAGGAAGAAGGACAAAATCGGAAACTGAATCAGTTCATGAGCACAGACGTGATTCGTCTGGATTCTGTAAGAGTGACTCCGTATTTGTATACATTAGTCACAAACATGGAGGCCCAGCTTCTGTAAGAGATTTCTAGGATGATCTGCATACTTACATGGGAAGTAATATTTTAAGCCAATATTTAAGTAAATTGAGTGAACTGTGGCCTTTTTTTTTTTCATAGATTTAATGATATATAAAAATATCATATAGGTTGCTTGTTTTGGCTCATACTCGCATATTTTAACTCTGTATTCAGGAAATCCCTTCATCTGAGCACTGAGCTTTTACTGACTGCCCAGAGGGTAAGCGTGAAGGGCCTGCTGTGCTGGACAATTTGCTATATTTCTTATTTAGGTAACAACATTAATAAGAAATTCAACAATGTGAAATTCACTTAGATGTGCCTGTTCTGCTGACAGTAGCAATATCTCAGTGTTCAGTTATTTTCAAAATTTGCCACCAGCCTTTTCCTTGCAGAGGGGCTTTGGATATTTTCAGACTGTAATGTGTCAGCCTAAAAAGGTGTAAGTCATCTGCTTTCTTCATTCACTTTTTCCAGCGTTTTGCACTACGTTTTGTCCTTTGTGTATAATTGCAAGGAGGAAGGGTAAATGCTGTCTATAGAGCAGGGAAAATTCAACTGTCTCCAAAAAGGTTGGGTTTTTTGAGTATCCCAGAACAGGAAATATGGG